AACTTTCCATAGCCTTTGTGTAACATAAGTTGAGTCATCAGTATTATTTGTTGAATATATTTTGTTGCTATTCATTAAAAAGTGCCTTTGTCAAACATGAAGAGTTCTAATAAGAATTTTTGGAATTTAGTCTGCAATATTAGGCATTACTTTAGTTACTCCTTTTTATATTCCCCATAGCATGTTCCATATTGCAATAGTTGATACATTTTATTTTACCCCTTTAAGAAATTAGACCTTTTACCAAGCTAATTGAGATATTTCATAGAGAGTTAGCCAACAGTTTTAGGCATTATTTCCTGTTCAACTTCTCAGTTAAGCTTCCCAACTAGACCCAATCCATCTGCCCTTGTTTTGTTTGCCCGGTTGTGCTTTCCCTCAAAGTTCCGTTTTCCTTGCATTTGTCCTGTAGACGGTGACCGAGTGGATGTAGAAGTAGAAAAACTGCGACGCCTCAGCGAAGAGTTCTCCAGGAAGCCCGGTAAGATTTTATTTAGTGTTCCTTTTGCGTTATTTGATTTGTATAGAGATTTGAATTGTATGTCGTTTTTTGGTTTTAATATTTTACTTTCTATATCAGTTTTGTTGGCTTATTTCATTTTATTTTTATTATTATTATTATTATTTTTTTTTGCTGTAATGGAAAGTGCATCTATGCTGATTTTTATTTTTTATTTTTCTCGTTGAATTTAACGGTTTTAATTGTAGCGCATGTGCTTGTTCCATGCGAGAGATTTCTCATGACGCGTTTTCTCGTTTTATTAATGTTGTTTCGTGTCCTCTGCCCGCCCTTAGACTCCACTCTGCTCAACGGCTCCGCTAGACACAAAAGCCCTTCGCCGCAACCCAAACCAGCTCTCCCCACCTACACAAACTTCAAACAGATCTACAACAACAACCAGCACAACCACAATAACAATAACAACGTCACCCCCAATTCCTACAATTCCTACAACAACACACATAGCAACAACCTTTCCAACGGCCTTAGTGGGAGCAACAGCAGCCTCTCCAGCAGTAACAGCAGCAGCTTCCACCATAAGCGTGCCAGATCCCCTCTGAGAGAAAACGGACTCTCGCCCTCTGTCATCCTCGAGACAAAGAAGGGGCTGTCTGAGGAGCCTTTCCTTCCCTTCACCTTCCCCGATCTGCCTTCCTACAAGATGCCTTCCCAGAGGCGCTTCAGCGAGGACGTGTCCTTCCGCAGACCGCTTGGTAGGTTGACAGTGCCTGTCGCGTTTTTTTTTTTTTTTTTTTTTTTCTCTCTCGCTCTCTCTTCCTCCTTCCATCTTTTCTCTCGAAAGTGGTGATATGGTGGATTAATAATTGTTGTGACTGGTTCAAGATCATCGTCTGTATTTATTCACATATGTTTTAATCAGATGTAAACAACAATCTTGGCATAAATGTGAATTATCAACTTCTCTTAGCCTGAGTAATATTCATAATATATACGAGTCTATCATAGAACCTCATAACAGAAAATGGTATCAAAATAGGAAACAGAAAACGATTTTAAACTGGATGGCTGTACTAAACATTTTTATTCTCTATATGGTAGATTTGCTATTAATGTTATACGTGGAAATGCATATTGCCAATATAGTTTTTTGATATATACTAATGAAAAATATCCTTTTCGTTTCTGAAAATATGTGACCATGAAACTTATAATCATAAACTGAGGGGAAAGTTTTCAGCACTTTATTTTTTACTGTCCCCATTATTGCACGATATTTCTTTCCCGCCTTCTCTCCTCGGTCTCCCCCCTCGTACTCTTTCAGTATCCCTTCTTCCTTTTTCTCGTTCTCTCGCTCTTTTTCTTCTGTTTTCTCTTTCTTCTTCTTTCTTTCTCTCTCTCATCTCTCTCCCCTTCTCGTCTCTCTCTCCTCTCCCCTTCTCTCTCTCTCCTCTCTCCCCTTCTCTCCTCTCTCTCCTCCCCTTCTCTCTCCTCTCTTCTCCTCCCTTCTCTCTCTCCTCTCTCTTCCGCCCCTTCTCTTCTTGTCTTCTATCTCTCTCTCCTCTTCGTCTATCATACTCTCTCTCTCTCTCTCTCTCTCTCTCATCTCTTCTTAATATTATAATTCTCTCTCTCTCTGCTGTCTCTCTCTCCCCTTCCTCTCTGTCTCCTCTCTCTCTTGTCTCTCTCTCTGTCTCTCCTTGTTCCGTTCTTCTTGTCTCTCCTGTCCTCTTCCTGTTCTCGTCTCTCTCTCTCCTCTCTCTCACTCTTCGTCTCTCTACTCTCTCCTCTCTCTCCTCTCTCTCCTCTGCGGTCTCTCTTTCTCCCTCTTCTCTCTCCTCTCTCTTCTTTCTTTCCCTGTTTCCCTCTTCCTCTCCTTTCTCCTCCCTGCCTCGCCTCCCTCCCTCCCTCCCTCCTGCTCCCTCCCTCCTCCGCGTCCTTCCTCCCTTCCCTCTCTCTCTTCCTCTCGTCTCGGTCCTCTCTCTCTCTCTTCTCTCTCTCTCTCTTCTCTCTCTCTCTCTCTCGTCTCTCTCTCTCTCT